CACACACACACACACACACACACACACACACACACACACACACAGTATTGAAAACCAGCATCCGGCCCAGAGTGTATTGGTGGGGTGGGGGGTGAGTTGTGGAATCAAGTGACCAGGCTTTAACCGTTCCAGTCAGATTTATCATTTTGATCTCGTATTCCACTAGTCTTCTTTTTGAGTCTAGTTGCTGCAGCCCAAATGATTTTTATAAAATTTAATTTTGATTGTTAGGGAATAACTTTCCTTTTCATGTGACTGCCTATGAGATTTTCAAATAACAGCTTCATTTTTAATTTATGTTACTGATCGAAAGGTTGGCGGTTTGAACTCACCACATGTTTTGCAGGATAATGTGGTCATCGATTGCTGTAAAGTTTTATAGGTCTGGAAGCCATATGGAACAGTTCTACTCTGTCCCATAGGGTCTCTGTGAGTTGGTATACAAGCAATGCCAGTGGGTTTGGTTAGCACATCATTCGTCCTTTTGTACAGCCGTCAGCACTGTCTACTCTGGAGCATCGCATCACCACCAGAGGAGTCTGACAACCATTAGCACTCACTCCCCATTCTCCCTTTCCTCCAGTTCCTGGCCAACAGTAATCTACTTTTTATCTCTATGTATTTGCCACTTGTGGACATTTCATATAAACAATATCATACATAGCCTCCTCCTCTTCCTGACTCTTCTTATTCCTCTGTTGTTTCAGAAGAATATTGTGCCTGGAATGGTGATGTGCAGGCTTTTAAGAGCCTAGGCACTATACAATGACCAAGGAGGTGGAGCAGAACAAACTATAAATATGTTAGTTGACTGGGATGTTCTATGACCTTAAACCTCCGAACTAAGGAACCAACTCCCATGAGATGTGTGGTTGCCTGTGTGCAGCCTCATTAGCTACTACTGTTTTGTGTGTTTTTTTGTCATTGCATTATCTATCACACAATTTTTGCTAATTCAACTTTTTATAGATATACAACTTATTGGCAGCAATTATAATAATCAGTTATAGAACCTTACCCTTAAATCGGTGCAGTTTTTCTATCACCATTCATCCTGCTTTCCCAGACTCCCTTTTAGCCCTCGTAACGCCAAGAAACTTTGGTCTCTCTACATTTCCCTTTTCTCGTATTTTTACGCAAACCAAAACCGTACTTTGTCAAGTTGATTCTGACTCATAGCAACCCTATAGGAGAGACTAGAACTGCCCCTTGGGTTTCCGAGACTCTAAATGGTTATGAGAGTAGAAAACCTGCTCTTTCTCCCACAGGGTGACTTGTGGTTTCAGACTACTGACCTTCAATTAGTAACCCACTATGCCACCAGGGCTCCTAGTTTTATATAAGTGAGGTCAATATTTGACCTTTCGTGATTGCCTTATTTCATTTAGCATACTGTCTTCAAGCTCCCCCTACACTGCAGCATTTATCAGGATTTCATTTCTACTCGTGGTTAAGTAATGTTCCAATGTATGTAGGAACCACATCTTTTTTATCTGTTCATCTGTCAATGGCTGTTTAGGATGTTTCTGCCTTTTGGCTATTTGAGTACTGTTAAATGAACATTGATATACAAGTATCTTTTTGAGGCTCGGCTTTCAAGTCTCGGGTATATACCTAAAAATTGCTGGGTCATATGATAATTCTAATTTTAGTTGTTTTTTTGAGGACCTGCTGTGCTGTTCTCCACAGCAGCTGGACAAGAGATACAGTTCTCCCCTTTTGACTTTCCCGATGGTAATCTTAAAAGCTCAAAATCTAAATATTTTTATACCATCTTATTTGTTTATTTATTTATTTTTGTTGGTTATTCTTTTGGTGTCCTGTCTAAGAAATCGTTTCCTACCCTAGGTAATGAAGATTTACTTCTTGGATAACTCCTGTGTACTCCTAAGTGTTTTACTTTGTTAGCTCTTACCTGAGAATACTTAATGACTTTTATTAATGAAAATATCAAAATGTGAATCTACTGTTTCTAAACATAACCTCCATCTACCTCTATACGCTTTTGAAGGTGGTGTTTCCATCTGGCGCTATCAGGAGAGCGCTTGACTGCTAACCACAGGCCAGTGGGTCATTCCTACCAGCTGCTACTTGGAAGGAAAACTGCTGAGGCGATCCTCGCCTGTAAAGCTTTAGGGTCTTCAGCCCTCATTCTGGGGTTGCTGTAAGTCAGAATTGACTTGCTGGCAGCGAAATTTGGGTTGGGGACCCTTCCTCAAAGAATCCTGTGCCGTTCAATTACACTATGTCAGAATGGCCGTTTTGGCATCTTCAAGGGACTCAAATGTATTCTTTTGAAATGTTCTTTGAGTTTGGAGCACAACAATATAATTTGAAGGGGCGGCATCAAGACTGTAGGGTGGATGGGGTAAGATTTTCTAATGAAATTTCTTGACCTCAATTTTCTTAAAATTTCTTCCTTATAAGTTCTCATGATTGTCCTATGTCTTTTAAGGAAATCTATCAAGATCACCCTCTTGGAATCTCAGAAGGTTGTAACTTTTTGCTCTGACCTCTGTGCTTTGAATTTAGCAGACTCACCAGATCCCCTTGGAAGCCAGTTTGATTAGACATTTTTTGGAAGGTACCCTAATGATACTAAGACAAGTGTATTACTGAGAGAGCTTGTCTGCAGTCCTCTGGAACCCTAGAAGTAATACTTTTTTACTTACCTTGTATGTATAGTTCTGTGATCACTTTTGGTTGAATTTTTGTGTATGGTATGAGGTATAAGGGTTCAACTTAATCCTTTTGCATGTGACTATCCAATTGTCTTAGAACCATTTGTTGGTAAAATTATGTTTCCCTACTAATGGTCTTGGCATCTTTTTTGAAAATCACTTGCGTATCCATGTAAATGGTTTATTTCTAGACTGGCCATTCTATTGCATTGACATGTACATCTGTCCTTTTGCAATACCAAAATTTATTGATTCTAACTTTATTTTGAAATTAGAAGTGTGATTCCTCCAACTTTGTTATAGTTCAAGGTGTTTTATTTTTACTGTGTGGATCTTTGTCTTTCCATATGAATTTTAAGACCACTTATCATTTCTGCAAAAAGAAAGCTGGGACTTTGAGAGGGATTTTGTTGAATTTATAAAGCAATTTAGGGAGAATTATCATTATAACAACATTAAAATCTTCCAGTCCATACGCATGAGAGGTCTTTGCTGTAATCAAGTTTTCCAGCAGTGCTTTGTTATTTTCAGTGTACACCTTTTATTTTTTCCAAGTTTTTACTTTTATATATTGATATTTTTACCTACTAATCTTGCTTAACTCAATTACAACTCTTGTGTTTGTGCTTTTCCTTTGTATTTTTATTTGGTCCCACTTACAAAAAGTCCTAAGAGAGTCACAAAAACTATTAGGACTGATCTATGAATACAATAGTTTTACCCTTTCCAGTTTGGATGCATTTTTTAAACAGTTTTATTGGCATATAATCCACATACCATCCAATTTAATGGCTTAAACATATTCAAAAGAGTTGTGCAGTCATCACCATGGGTGCACTTTTTAACCCTTTTCTTGCCTGCCCGCTCTGGGTTAGACTTTCAGTTCCGCGTGGAATAGTGAGGGTGAAGGCAGCTCTCTGTGTTAGTCTGCTCTGAGGGGAAGCATCAGTTTTTCATCGTAAGTATGGTGTACGCTGTGGCGTTTTGTAGATGCCCTTTATCAGGTTGAGCAAGTTTTTTTCTATTCCTAGTGGTTTTTTTTAAATGGTTTTTATCTTTTAAAGCACGTTGGCTTTTTCTCAAATGCCGTTGCTGCTTTAATTGAGGTGCTCATGTGGTTTGTGCACCTTACTAATATGTGTGTTACATGGACTGTCCCATGTTAAGTTGCTCTTCCATTCCTGTGGTCAGTCTCTGTTGGTCATGATGCTTTGTTGTTTGATATATGCTGACTTCAGTTGACTCGTATTTTATTGAGGATTTGCACACCACTATTCCTAAGGGACTTGGGTTGCAATTTTCCTTTCTCATGATGCCTCTGTGTGTGCTGCCAGGCTGGGGTGAAGGCTGCCTTCATGAAACCAGCAGACAGGTCTACTTTCCTCTTCTGTTTTGGAAGAATTCATCAAGAATTGGTAACAGTTCTCCTTTAAACATTGGATACTATTCATTAGGAAAGCTGTCTGGGCTTTTCCCTTGTGGGAAGTTTTAAAATTATTCATTTCTTTACTCTTTTACATTCACTAGTTTTTTCTACTACTCAATAGTTAAATCTTTCTATGAGTTTATCCATATCCTCTAAGTTTTCTGGTTTCTGGACATATTGTTGTTCCTAGTATTGTTTTGTTATTCTTTCTACTTCTAGAAAGTTGATGAGCTTTCTCCATGTAATTTAAAAAATAAAAGGCCATTGTGGGTAGCCATTAGAAATGCTGTGAAATCTTTTTTTTTTTAATGATGTGAAAAAAATCTTCTGCATATAATGTTAACTGGAAAAAGGAAAAGAGAAAATAATATTTACCCCTCAGGAACAATAATGGGAGTAGCCATACCTTGAGGGTAAAGGGAAGGTGGGGGGAGAGGGGGGAACCGATCATAATGATCAACGTATAACCCCACCCCTAGCCCCATCCCTGCCCAAGGGAGACAAACAAAAGAAACACGGGTGAAGGGAGACAGCAGATGGTGTAAGATATGAGAATAATAGTAATTTATAGTTTATCAAGGGGTCACGAGGGTGGAGGAAGGAGGGTAAAAAGAGGCGTCGATACCAAGGGTTCAAATAGAAAATGTTTTGAAAATGATGATGGCAACATATGTACAAATGTGCTTGATAAATCGGTGTATGGATTGTTATAAGACCTATAAGAGCCCCCAATAAAATGATTTATATTTAAAAAAGAAAACTATTTATAGTTTTCTTGTTGATTAATACTTTCTCCTATCGTCTTTTCACTTTCTTGATAGTGGCCTCTGAGTCTCCTGTTTTTAAGATTGTTTTCTAGCTTAAGTAATCTTTGCACCTTGATTAAAAGTTTTCCGTTTAACATAGTCCACCAAGGCAAAATTCTATGCCCTACTTTGGTGAATAGCAACTAGGTTATTAAAAGCTCATGAGCGGCCATCTAACATGAAACTATTGGGCTCTCCATGTCTGGAGGAAAGTGGTGATAACTGAAGACGCATAGAAACAATTAGTTTCGGGAATGAACGGACCGTGCAAACATCAGTCTTCGTGACCTGAGACTAGAAGAACTGGATGATACCCTAGTACCTCTACTAACAGTTCTGAAAGGGACTGCCTGAGAATGCCCTGGATAGAGTGAGAGAAAAATATAGAGCAAAACTCAACATCATGGAACAGACCAGGCTGCATAGAGACTGGTGGAACCCCCAAGACTATCCCCATTAGTCATCTTTCAGGTCTAGAAACGAACTCACACTCATAGCTCCATTTTCAGCCAGACATGAGACAGGCCTAAGAGGGGAATAATACCCCTAGCAAGAATAATCAACCTTAGGAGATCAAAAGGGCACCATTTACCCAAGGACAAAGTTCAGAAGGGCTAGGAACGAATGATAAATGAACAAGAAACAGGGAGGAAGTGGATCTAAGCGATGTTACATTGTAGGGATCACAATCAATGAGATGACGCAAAATGTGCATCAACCTTGACCCAGTTCACAATAAAAGTTTTAAACAATAAATGAAAAACTCAGTCACATGCCTCAGTTCAAATCTCTACCGCCATGCAAGAAATGTTTTGCCTCATGAAATTCTGTTGACTCCTTACTTTGAAGTAATGACTTGTGAATTCTACTGTTCTAGTGGATACACAATGGTGCCGTCCTTTGCTGGCAAAGTTATGAAGAAGCTCTGCTTTAAGCAGATACTTTGTCTCCTAATAAACAGAGTTGATAACGTTGATTGATTTACTGGGCAAATAGTATATAATGCCCTTTAGTCTATGAAATAAAATGAACAATTTTCTGTTATACTGAATACTGGCTATATTTTAGATATAGTGGTATTTCCTATTCTCTCATAGAAATAAGTAGACCATTCTGTTTGAGAGAAAAAACCTTTTACATGAAAAAATAGTTTAAAATTAAAAAAAAAAAAAGGCTAAGCAGCCTCTGTTTTCAAGCTTCTGAAATTGAGGAGTGGTAGTGATAGGACACTGTAGCCTTCAGTGTGGATTATACCTCAATGTCAATAAAAAGTCCTCACAACTGGACCAATAAACAACATAATGATGAATAACGAAAAGACTAACATTTCCAGGATTTCATTTTACTTGAATCCACAATGACTGCTCACAGAAGCAATAGTTAAAGAAATCAGATGATACATGTAGTGGATACATTACTGTATAATAAGGTTTCTTTAAAGTGTTAAAGAACAAAGATGTCACTTTGAGAAGTAAGGTTTGCTTGAGCCAACCCCTGGTATTTTGAGTTGCTTGCTCTGCATGGGCAAACTGATAATAAATAAGAGCAGAAGAATTGATGCATTTGAATTATTGTATTGGTGAATAATAAATGAATATACCATGAACTGCCAAAGGAATGAAGAAATCTATCTTGGAAGATGTATAGCCAGGATGTTCCTTAGAAGTGATGATATCAGGAGGGACTGGTTCCTGGAGAAGGACAGCCTGCTTGGTAGAGTTAGGGAGTCAGGGGAAAAGAGGAAGCTTTTCTATGCGATGACTGACACAGTGGGTTCAAACATAGCAACCATGAGGATGGCGCAGGACCAGGCACGGTCTCTTCTGTTGCATATAGAGATGCTGTGAGTCAGCAGAACCTGCTCGATGACACCCAATAGCAAGAAGCGGTAAGAGAGTAAGAGGTGCTTATGGCCAAGATGTATGTAGGGACCGGGGTAGCAGAAATGGAAATTAGTGTTAGATTCTCATATTTGAGGAAACATTTTTGTTTTTTTGAGGGGAGGTTTATGTGCAGGTTGTTTTAAGACAACTTTCTTTCGGGTGGAAGAAGGAAATGAAAGAAGTGATAAATAAAGGGGAAAAAATCAATCCAACTTGTCAATGATTCTATCAACTTTTATAACTGATTACATGAAGACATCTCCTTTTTCAAGCTTATAGTAGCTGTTGAACAAGAAGAAATTCCCAGACTTCAGGCTCTATATGAACGAGGCCTTCAGAATGGTGTCCAGGGCCTGAGACTGATCCAGCAGGAAGATATAAAGAAGAAGGAGCCGTTCTGTAGGGTAAGTGTTCTCCAGCCCTACACACGTACTCAAAGGGACTGTCTCCACGAATCTCCCGTTCTTTTACCTGGAGACTGAGTATAATAGCTGATAAGGAGCAGCAGTCACGTAGGGTAAATGAGATGATCCTGTCATGGAGCCCGTGATGTGACAGAGACGAGGACATGACTACGAACTCTGCATACCAGTTTCTTTCTTAGAGAGAAAACCACATTTGACCAACCTAACCATAGGCAAGCGGTGTGTTTGGGAACCACTGCTTGGTGAGTTCTGACCGGATAAGTGAACTTGAAACTGGACAGGCAAGAGTAGGCCCTTACAGAGGGCCTAGCATCCATGCTAATGATTTTGAAGCTTAGGAGGCATGGGGTGCCACTGAAATATTTTTTTAAGTTTAGCTACAGTATCTGATGTATATTTTAGGAAGGTAAGGATGGCATGAGGGTGAAAGGTGAGATGTGGAATATCTTACTTGAAAGATAATAGAGGAAAAACAAATCCCCTTTCCTTAATCCACAAAGAAGACATGAATAATAGTAGTTACTCTACATGTTACCTTTCACCAGCGGTTATCAGTTCAACCCCAAGCTCCATTGACTATTTCAATGAAGGCTGTATCACTTCCCCACCATTTAATTGACAGTGTACAATAACTGAGCTCACTGCTAGGTAATACCACAAGCCTGGTTTCAACAGACTATTTATGGGAGATAGCTCGGATGATATTCTCTGTAGATCTAGAAAGCCTCTAGACATCAGAATGGCACAGCTATACTATAGTGTTTGACCTTCCTCATCATACTCCCTAACCCCCAAATTATTCTCTTTGACTTGTGTTTCAACTTTGTGGCATCAGCCTATGGGGAAGGCCATTGTGTCACTCATTGCAACTTCTAAGTAAGGATGTGGTTGATGACATATGTTACTCACTCTGTTACCCAATAAGTGGATAATTGCATTACTAAGAATCAGCACAAAGCTAGTTCCCCTGTGGTGGATGTTAAAGATGTTCCAAGTGATCAACTTTTTCAAGCTGCTAAATCACTCTATCATCTCTAATACCAACTGCTTGCCCTACCCGTGGTACTCTTCCCCTGTCTTTGGGTCCTGTAATGCCCTGCAGCATTGCATAGAATTCGTAAACTGTACTGACAGTTATATAATTTACTGAGGAAGTACCAGTTACAACTCAGCATCAGAAGCAACTTAGAAGTCACAAGATACAAATTAGGAAACAGGATTCACTTTGTCATCTTGACCCTTTCTCAGCCATGTCCTCTGCTGGACCTTGTCTTGGACCTCTGTGGCCATGCCCTCCTTAGATCTCTGCTACTGAGCTTCTCTGGGCCTTTCCTCTGCCCTTGGGCAAGTGTCCAACCTCTTTTGGCTCCACTGCTAAGTGCCAGGGACACACTCCTCTGCCAGCTAGTCTCCTGCCTGAGAGTGCTCAGCAGTTTGTCTCTGGGCTAGGAAGCCCACTATAGCCATCTGCTAGCCCCATGGTTCTCACACTTGTACTTCTGTTGCTTATAGCTACTGTCTTATCCTCCCGTGCCATCTTCGTTGTTCCTGCTCTTGACCTGCATACAGATCTTTTAGGAGGTTCCTATCTCTCTTATCTTTGTGACTCTCTCTCAAAACCTTCTATTGTTTGGCTGCTAATAAGCAAGCTCTTTATCAATTTTAAGGCATGGCCTTCCATGGCTAACCGATCCTCACCATACACCACAGATGTTTAATTTTCATAGTAGTCAACCAGTTCCTACGAAATGGTTTTATATACTTTAGTTGCATCGTTGCAATTATCAGAATTAGTTAGAAAATATGGCCTTGGTTATAGAAATGAGGCCAGAGATCACATGGTGGGATTTGTGAGACCAATGACTTATTAATTGAAAATGCCTTTTATAACAGCACAAACAGTGACCATACACATGGACTTCACCAAATGGAACACACAGGAATCAAATTGACTCCAACTGTGGAGACAGTAAAGACTAGAGAAGCTCAGTAGAACCAGTCAGAATAAGATCAGGGACTGACTATGGAACAGACCATAAATTGCTTGTGTGTAAATTCAAGCTGAAGCTAAACGAAATTAGAACAAGTCCACTACAGCCAGCATATGGCCAAGAGTATATTCCGTCTGAATATCGAGGCCATCTCAATAATAGTTTGGGGCACTTGCCTTCCATTGTGGCAGCCATTGAGGAGTAGCAGCCCTGGCTGTGGGCTTCAACAAGGGCCACGAGGTGACCGAGAATGTGTCAAGCTGAGGGATAGCCGCTGCCTCAGGCCCCTCACCAAGCACACTGGTTTCGTGTGGGACATTATCCCGGAAGTGTGTGGCTTCATGTCCAATGAGTGCTGGGCCATGGAGCTGCTCAAGGTCTCCAAGAACCAGCGGACGCTTAAGTTCATCAAATAGGTGGGGACACACATCTGTGCCAAGAGGACGAGAGAGGAACTGAGCAATGTGCTGGCTTTCATGAGGAATGTGGCTGCCAAGGACTGAGTGTCGTGTGCCCATCCTCCGTAATAATACATCCTTTCCAGAAACCGGGGGGTAGGGGCGAGAGAATAGATTTAGCATATTGAACACTAATGACCCAAGAGCAGACAGTTTGTGTGATGACATCAAGTACATCTTTCATGAAGAATGCAAAAAGTCATTAAGAATCCAAAATAGATGTCAGAAGAGATGCTGAGTCAAGGGCCTTTGGGAATCAGGACCAAGATCTCAGGGTACCAAGGTCAGTTGCCATAACACAGTCCAAAAAGACATCTGGTTTTCAATGTGCTTTGATGAATAATGACTGGGGTCTTTAAAGTTTGTGAATGATCATCTAAGGTACAACTGCAAGTCTCTCCCCGTTCAGAGGAAAGAAGAGTGATGAGAATCTTAGACATGTGGATATAATTAGTCCAGCGGATTAATGGACCACACAAACAGCCTCCGTCATCCTGAGATCAGAAGAACTAGATGGTGCCCAACTACTCCTACCAACTGCACTGTAAGCTATCACATTAGAATATCCAGAATGGAGTTGGAAGAAAATGTGAACAAAACTCAAAATCATGAAACAGACCAGGCATACTGGTTCGATAGACACTGGTGGAACCCCAAGACTATGTCCCTCATCACCCTCAGGTCTAGAACTGAGTTCATGTCTATGGCTCGATTTTCAGCCAAACAATTGGCCTAAATGGGGAACAGTAACACTGGAGAGTTGTATACACCTTAACATAATTAACCATTTGAGATCAAAAGGGCAGCATTTACCTAAGGTAAAAGTCCAGAAAGGTTAGGAAAGAAGGAGGAATGGGAACAGGAAGTGGGAATAAGTGATGTTACATTATGGGGATTGTAATCAATGAGATGAAACAAAATGCATATGAATTGTTGAATGGAAACGGATTTGTTTTGTAAACCTTCACACAATTTACAATCGAAAGTTCAAGAGAACATAAAGTAGCTAAAAAGAATGGAAGAAATGCTGATGTGAAAGAGCTGAACAGAAGATTCTGAAGGGCAGCTCAAGAAGACAAAATAAAGTGATGAAATGTGCAAAGACCTTGATGTGGAGAACCAATAGGGAAGCATGCACTTGGCATTTTTCAGCCGGAAAGAATATTATGGGCAAAATATTGAGCAATCGGGAAGCATTAAAAGAAGATGGAAGGAACAAGAGTCACTTTCCAAGAGAATAGGTCAGCATTCAACCATGTTAGGAAGTAGTTAGTGTGTGATCAAGAACTGATGACATCGAAGAAAGGACTCCAGGCTACACTGAAGATAGAGAGAAAAACAAGGCTAAAAAAAAAA